AGGAAGACTCACACACACCTGCCGCACTGTAGACACTGAAGTTCATAGTTACAAGATCTTGTTATCATTTCTTCTCAGCCTGTTTAGGAAGAAGAATGCTCTGAACTGAAACATGCAGATTCTGAGTACATCCCCTGTAGGAGATCCTTGCTCAGCCTTTCTTTTGACACAAATGGTGTCATTTGTAAGCTGTCTGGTTCTTGGGCCCAGGGTCTGGCCAAAGGCCTGGGCATTTTAGCCTACTTGTAACTCCTTTACAACCTATGCTTTAGCCCCGTTTGTTGGGAAGCCTCGATTTAGGATCTCAACCCTGTCTGTGCTGATACCAGATAAGATCTGTTAGCATTAGTATTGAAACTATACCTTTTTAAAAAATTATAGTTGACATATAATATTATATTTGTTTCAGGTGTACAACATAGTGATTTAACATCAGTATACCTTATACGATGAGATAGATAGAGGAAACTATGCCTTTTAACCCTATTAAAAAGTGAGCGAAACAGGGAGCCACAGAAGAACAGGCTGTCATGTGTGCCACATTTCCTCTGCTGAAGTGTACAAGGGAGAAGTGAGGTTCAGCTTTCACTCACAGTGGCTAGAAAAGACTGGTGGGTACCCCTGTCTCTGTGTAGCCTGTCTGTGCTGGTGCCCCGAGAGACTCCGCTTGTCTTTGGACACTGCTAATGAAAGCTGGCCATGCTTAAGTAATATGGAGGCTCTCTCCCCTTTCCTTGTCTGATTATCCCTGAGGGGGCATCCACTTTCTTGCTCACCTCTCCAGCTGCAGGCTCTAATCCTTGCCAGACCACATAATAATGACTTCGTAAGCTCACATTACAGATGCACAAAAGTGCCCGGTGGTGGTATGGCTCCACCCTCCACTTGAGTTTCTGCTGACATTCAGTGAAATAGCCTTCCATCTCCTCCACCTTGCAAAACAGACTTCCTGTTTTGAACTTCGTCCATACTGGAACAGCCCGGCTACACCTGTTAACACACTCAGACACACATTTCCTCCTTCATATTTGTACAGCTTTTTGTCGCCTAGCCAGATTTCCCCTCTTAGCTTACAGATCTGAATCATAACAGAAGATATGGAACCAGCAAATTCAGAAAAAAGGAAGTTCACATTTTAGAACCCTTTGAGTGAAAATAGGGCTTCTGGTTTATTTGACTGAGGTTTGCTATGACCACTGCTAACTTTCCTCCTCCTTCACAGCAAAATGGAAGCGAGGAAAGGAAATTGGCTGACACAGGAACCGGAGTGAGACCGATGAACCCACCATGAACTTGTGTCTCCTCCCTTCTCCACTTTAAAGGCCAACGGCAGGTGAAATTGCCGGAGAGCGATGGCTCTCTTTACTCCGTGGAAGTTATCCTCTCAGAAGCTGGGCTTTTTCCTCGTGACTTTTGGCTTTATTTGGGGCATGATGCTCCTGCATTTTACCATCCAGCAGCGAACTCAGCCTGAGAGCAGCTCCATGCTGCGTGAACAGATCCTGGACCTCAGCAAGAGGTACATCAAGGCGCTGGCAGAAGAAAACAGGAATGTGGTGGATGGACCATACGCCGGTGTCATGACAGCTTATGGTAAGTGCTGCGCTTCTGGGGCTTCTCGATCGAGTGTGCCTGTGGCTTTGCCTCGAAAGGACCCCAGAGGCTCTCAGACTTGGTTTTGTCACAGATTGAGTGTGTCCCTCGCCACTGCCTTTGTGGCAGTGAATTGCACACAGAGGGACACTTTTAGAAAAGTAAAGCAATGCCCTCTGGGAGAGTCTCAGCTCTTACACACTGACATTTAGCCCCAGGAGCAATGGGGCAGAATGGTTAGCACTTTCTTGCTTGTATTTGCAGCCAGCTTCTCTTCCTCAACACATTCTGGATTGCATGATCTCATCTGGGAGTATGATCAGAAAATATACGAAAATATTCTCATTATTTTTCCCTAAACAAAACTTAATTAGGACTGGTGGATTGAGGTAAGGAGGCTGGGGAGGACTGTTCTCTGGATGCCAAGAAACTCAGAGCCAAAATGTGTGCCTCCTTCCAGCCACTATGTAGGACATTAAGGCGATGTGCTGGCTAAGAGCTTTAACCTTTGGCTTAAGAGCTTCTTGCTCTTGTGTCTTACCCTTATCTGTAAGTGCGTTGCTTTGAGAGAAATTTTTTTGTATTCGTTGCTTTTTTTTGTCAGGTGCCTTAAATCCTTTCTGAAATGAAATTATGTAAAAAAAATATATACATACGGAATATTACACTTAATATAGTTATTTGTTACACTTAATATAGAAAAGGTTAGATGCTATATGGCTTAATATAGAAAAGGTTAGATGCTGCTGACAAGCAAAAGATAGGAAGAAGAAATAAAATCACATCTCCTATAGGAAATAACCGCAATTAATATTTCAGTGTATATCTTTCCGATACTCTATATATGCGCGCGCGCGCGCACACACACACACACACACACACACACACAAATGTATATATAGGTGTAGAAGACACAAAGTACTTATAAAAACGTACATAAATACAAAACAAAACTTGCAGATGAAGTGTGGATCATACTGTGTTTTTGAGAATCCACTTCCCATCTCTCCTGTGGTCACTGAGTATTGGAAAGGACTTGATCTGTGGGATGACCTGTTGTTGTTAGTGACAAGTCTGGTCATTGAATGGAGACTTCAGTGGCCTCAGGATTTAGGACCCCGAGGTATAATTTAAATGAGATACAAGAATGAAATCTGATGAGGAAGAAATAGTGTTCCTTCTTGGGACCCAATCAAAGAGTGTCCCCTGAAGTATATGTGGAGTTCAAATGATGATTCCTGAAAATGCACAGCAACAGGTTGAAGCATGGGTTCAAACACAGGAAATCATACTCAGTTTTACGTATATATGTTTTTCTTTTTTAAAAGGATCCAGGAAACTTGGTTATTTTATGTATATATATTGGGGGAGGGGGAGTGTAAGGAGAAAATGGTTGCTTTTAATGTACCATATGGAAATTCTTTTTCAGTGCCTACTATTTGAATGATTACGCTGTCTGCTTTTACTCTATTCCTTAAAGATTTGGCAGTGTCTACAGGCATTGGCTTGAATGTCCAAATAAAATGCCATCTCCTTCGATTTAGTGGATTAGTAAAAGGAGATGTCATTTCGAAAGCCTATGTTGAAAAACAAGTAGGTTGTTTTTTTGTGTTTTTGTTTTTGAGGGTACGTTTTTAAGTTAACTTCTATCTTCTTTAATTTTGCCTGAATATTGTAAGTAAACCATCAGAAAAAATAAAGCAACTGCTCACCATTGGTATTAAAAATCTGTAATAAGTAAAAGTAACAAGTAAAACAGATGCCGTTTTCAAGTTTCTTGTTCACTGCGTTCCATGTTACACATGTGGGGGGAAAGGAGAGTAGTCCAATAGTAATTTCTTTAGTCTATCAAATGTTTTCCATGAGAAGGAAGAAGCCACATGAATGGTAAATTTATAGACTTTCCGTTTCTCTAGTTTTGATTTTTTATTTCCTCTTAAACATGTCCTAGGGTAGGTTTCTCCCATGTTCTAAATGACCGCGATCTGTTCTTAGCCCTTTAGCCTCACAGATGTTATGTTTTTAGGAAGTTACCAACCCCCAGAGTAGTCTTTTAGAATTTCAGCCACCTCATATGCTTATCATAGGACTTTGGAGCTCAAAGAAACTGCAGAGACTATTCCTCTTTCTCTTTTACAGATGACCCTTAGCAAAGTAATTCTTTTTCTCAAAATAACAAAGAAATAACCACACAGGCACCCTCAGCAAGTCTAACTCACACTATTTTCCTTTCATCTAATCAACTCGACATGTCAGTCAAAATGATCTTTGGAGCTGAGTTTCTGGAATTTAATTGGACCGTGCATGTGTGCCTGAGGCATCGAGATCATCACCGTATTGAAATCCTGCTAAGACAGGTTTCTTACTTCGGCATCATTGACATTTTTGGTCACATTAACTCTTTGCTCTTGGGCGGGGGTGGGAGTGGGGGGCATGGAGGCACTGTTTGTGCCTCGTAGGATGTTTAACAGTATCTCTGGTGTCTCTACCCACGGGATACCAGTAGCACTTCCCTAGCTGTAAGAATCAAAAACGTCTCCAGATATAGGGGGCCAAATTATTCTCCTCCCCACCTTGGAGAACCACTGCATTACCAGTGCAAACAGAAAACACTATCTAACAACGCCATCTTCTTGAAGTTCTCAAGCAGATAACTGGTTTTTTGTTGTTGTTGTTATTTAAAATGTGATGGCCTATCTTTCTCCCTAGTTCCTGGCTCTGGGCATCACAATGGACTGAACAAGATGGTATAGTGCACATCAAGTGTTGGAAAGCTGGAGAGCCATTCCGACAACATTACTTCCCTGCGATCCATCAGTAGTGGTCATGGGCATATCATTAGGCACGCAGGTCTGGCAGTTGATGTCAGGTGGAGATGCAGAGACTGAAAGATGGTTTGGTGGTTTAACTGGGTTGGTGAGGTGGAGAAGAGGATCCATGAGTCATGGGTTTACAGTCTCTTTTTCTGCCACAAACGCAGCCTATATTTAGAGCACTGCCTACATGTCAGCTCTGAAAGAGTGAAGATCTGATCCTATATGGCTGAGATCTGTGTATGATTTGAATGAATTCAGTTAACAGACCAAAAAAAAAAAAAAAATGATCCCTCCCTTTTCCTATCTCCATATTCGTATTATCAGAGGCTCACAGTGTGCTATAAATAGGTTTTTACGCTGTGGTAGGTGTTCGAAGACCTATAATAGCTGATTTTAGATTATTACTGATTTGTCAGTATCCCTGACTTGAGATCCTAGAGCAGCAGGGGTCAGCACACTTTGACCTATATGTCCAATTCAGACTTCTGGCTGTTTCTGTAAAAAAAAAAAAGTTTCTTTTGAAACACAGCTACTCTCATCTGTTTATAACAATTTTATAACAAATGCATGGTAATACCAGTATTTATTTCACATGACATCTAAAACAGTGGCTCCCAACCTTTGTGGCACCAGGAACTGGTGGTCTTATGAGAATTTAGTGCCTGATGATCTGAAGTGGAGCTGAGGTGATGATGCTGGTGCTGAGGAGCAGTGCAAATACAGATGAAGTTTCACTTGCTCGCCTACCACTCACCTCCTGTCGTGCAGCCCGGTTCCTGACAGGCCAAGGCCTGGGGGTTGGGAACTCCTGATCTAAAACATGCTGACTTCATCTTTCAACAGTGACCATAGTTCATTCCGAAAACACTCATCTAATCATGTTCCTCCTTGACTTGACAATTTCCTAGGATTCCCATAGTCTAAGGCATGGTCAGCAAACTACGGCTCCCTTTTTTTGTGTGGGAAGTGCCTTGGAACCCAGCGCACCCCTCTGTTTATGTGTTTGTCGTTTCATGCTGCTTTTTTTTGCTACAACAGCAGAGTTGACTAGTTGCCCGTGAGCCTGCAATGCCTAAAATGTTTACCGTCTGCTCCTTTGCCAAAAATGTCAGTCCCTGATCTAGATATTCCCTGGGTCAGTCTTTCTACCTATGGGATATTTTTTGGTGTCCCAAGACTCTCATCTTTGCGTTTGAATTCACCTCAAGATGCCCAAATACGACGTTTCTTGGTCCTTTGGAAATGCTTCTTCTCAGCGGCAGGTTGAGAGTTGAGTGGTTAGGAGCACGGGCTTCGGAACCCTCTGGTTTGGCTTTGCCACATCCTGGCCGTGTGGCCAGAGCCCTGGAGGCACAAACTACTTTTAGAATGGGATGTCATTCCTTGTCTGGCCAGTGAGTGTGAAGCACCTCAAATATGGTTGCTGCCTGTTGTTATTTAGTCCTCAAGCCACAGAACTTTCAAACAGTTTCTCCCCTTCCCCCATCCTTGTTTTGGTGATTTGAAAAGAGACTTTTGAACTTCTTTTGGGATTGGTAATTCAGAAGTACTACCTGGAAGATGTCCCGTACAGCCTGTGTGGAACAGTTGGAGCATTCATTCTTGGGGTGGGGCAGGCATTTCTGTGGGCTGCTGTCACTCCCGAGAGGGGCATGCACAGCCAGAGCCCTCTCTAGTTCAGCCCCAACTGCCTCTTCTAGGCTGGCGTGTCAGGGCCATGCCTGTCAGTGACTTTGCGGGATTTGTGTCATGAATGGTGTCACTCGCTCCAGTCAGTGCCGTTTTTGTTTCTGAGGTGAATTGATCTCTGTCTCCGATGGCCTGACCCAAATTCTGAGCCCCAGTGATCACCTGTTACCTAACAGGACAGGCCTGGTACACTTGTGTTCTCTAAGTTAGAGGAATGGAAACCTGGGATGATGAGAGAGACCCATCTTTAGTCCACCCATATTTGATTAACCCTGACCTTCCTCAGCTGCTTGCTTCTCCGGGCTCCGGGACACTCTGCTCTAGCCCGGTACTAGCTCAGGCAGAAGCAGATGTGGGCCCTCTCTTTACCAACCCCTTCCCACCAACATCTCTTTCTCTTGCTGCCTGGTTCTCCTTCACTTCCAGGTCTCTATGCCTGCTCTTCCTCACCTCACCTCCTGCCTATCCTGCCCTGTTTTCTGGTTCCCTGAATTT